AACAGACAACTACTCGTGTCAGCGAATGAAAAACTTCTGACTTGCACTTGTCGTCTGTTAAAACACAGACGCGCTAGCATCGCGTCGCACGAGCATGTACCGCACCTTTTATGTTACCGACTCTAGATGGATAGGACGGACCAGCACAGACGTGCCTGCGCTACCACGGACGAGACCCTTCCCACGGTGCATGGTGCGTGCTGGTCCGCTTACGTCCGTAATATCGCCGACCGTGGGAAGCCGCTATTAGGTGTTGAAAGTCTAAAAGATGGATTTCATAGCAGAGTGTGATAAGTGATAATTGGATCAACAACAAATGAAATATTATACATTTGAGTAAAATATACTCCCATTACTAATCTTGAAGAATCTACAAACTCTGTGAAAGTCAAATTTCCCCCAACTAGTTCGGGTTCACAACTACTGTTGGTACTAGAGAGGCTTTGTTTTCGGTACAAGTCTTATTCCAGAGATACAGAGACGTCAACTGCAACGTATACGCATTGATTGATGAGTCTGGTTGATTACGAGAAAGCGTTTGATCGAGTATAGCACGCCAAGATGATACAAATACTAAAAGAAGCAGGAATTAACAACCAAGATCTGAAAATAATTAGAAATCTTTACTGGAATCCGATAGCAAATCTCAGAGTTAAAGGTGAACATACTGACTATGTGATAATCATGCCTGGAGTGAGGCAAGGCTGTATTTTGTCTCCTCTAATCTTCAATCTGTACTCTGAAAGAATATTTATCGAAGCTTTGCACAAAACTGAAAAAGGTATTCTACTAAAAGATTGCCGGCTAAACAACATCAGATATGCAGATGGCACAATAGTATTTGTGGACAACTTAGAAGACCTACAAGTTCTTATGAACAAAATCACGTATTACAGTCAACAATATGGACTCAATATAAACGTTAAGAAGACAAAGCTTATGATAATTAGCAAGAAAAGGATAACAGAAGGTCAACTCTACGTCAACCAATCTGCTGTAGAAAGAGTGACGCAATAAAACTACCTCGGCACCCTAATAAATGAAGAATGGACCAACAGTCAGGAGATTAGAGCATGCATCGGGAAAGCTAGTTCCACCTTCAATCGGATGGGGACCTTCTTCAAGAGTCACAACTTCTCTCTTGATACAAAAGTAAGAATGCTGCGATGCAACGTCTTCTCTGTCCTTTTTTATGGTGTTGAATCGTGGACCTTGAACGAAGATATGTGCAAAAAACTGTAAGCATTTGATGTGTGGCTATATCGGAGAATACTTAAGATCCCGTAGACTGACCGAGTCACAAATCAGGAGGTCCAAATCTCGAAAGTTACAATTCTTCGGACATATTATGCGAAATGAATCCAGATATGCTCTCCTTCAAGCCATCCTGCAAGGAAACATATTTGTAAAGCGAGGTCCAGGAAGAAGAAAGAACATATTGGTTAAACAACCTCGAAATCTGGTTCAATACAACATCTGTGCAGCTTTTCTGCGCTGCTGCAGATAAGATAAAGATTGCTATGATGATCGCCAAAGGTAACAGTAATGTTCATTGCTGATGTTGGCAGCTGTTTATCCAATTGGGCATAGCATTCTGTAGGTCCTCTCCACAGTCTTCGGCGATCATCAGCTGAATATCCCGTAAAACGAGACTCATCTTTTAACAGAACGTTTCTCCAATCCTCCATGTGCTAGGGATGGCGGTTTTTGACAAAACACCGGTTTTCGGTTATACCGGTTTTTTTGCTTACGGTTTAACCTGGCAGTTATAACCGGCCAAAAAAACCGGTTTTTCCAAAAATCGGTTTTCGGTTTTTTTATTCCAGTAGATTAGAAAGTTACATTTACAATGCACTTTAGTTTGCGATACTACATTCGACTCGATATCAATATGATCAAAATTAGTACTATCGAAAGAACATCAATATCAATGTAAGTACAACACAATTTTTTGTGTTTTTTGAGAAAAAAATTCCCCAACAAAAATTTCCCAGACTCTTTCAAATGGGATTTAAAGAAAATAATATCAACATAAATATTTTACTTAAAAATAAATTGGATAATGCAATTCATCTTTTATTTTTACTGCCATAAAAAAAATTATCATGTATTACTTTTAACTCATTTACGACTTCCGGTATGGGTATAAATCGTTTTGAAAACGTAGGGAAATCCTTGGAGATTCGTATTCGTAATCGGTAACTCGATATTCATAGTCATTATTTTTGGCAATCAGAAAAAGCCATTACCAACTTTCAATGTCAAGAGTCAAGTGTGAAAAATAGATGATGTATAAATACCAGATCAGTTCTTATGTAAGAATGATTACAAATACTTTTTCAACGAAATACTATAATAAAATTTAATTGTTTCTGGCTGATGTGAGTGACTTTCAGTTTGCTTCTGTATTTATAAAATACTGTATTTATAAAATAAAATAAAAATTGAATTTTAGTTTTGTTTGGAATAATTACTTGAGAATAATAATTATGATTGGGTGGGATCCAAAATAATACCTAACCTAATCGTAATCATTGTAAAAACTTAATAACCGGTTTTTACTTTAAAAATAAAAAACCGGTTATAACCGGGACAAAAAAACAAACGATAAAACCGGTTATTTCGAAGTAAAAAAACCGGTTTTCGGTTAAAACCGGTAGGTTTTAAACTCTAAAGTCCATCCCATGCCATCCCTACCATGTGCCAATCTGCATGAGCACAAAAGAATTTTAAACGTTATCTTCGATGAACTGTGTCCAATAAACGAACTGTATTAGGTACATAAAATGATAATTTTGTTCGCTTAATTTTATGCGTACGGTATCAGATGAAACTATAGTGCCATAAACATCTGCCAGTCTCCTAGTTAAAACTGTAGCAGTAACTATTTGATATCGAAGCACTTGAAGTCTACAGATCTTCGCGTCGTCTGTTGTCCAGGTCTTCTTGCGTAAGAACTAGTTTCTTTTCTCGAATTCTTTGTAAAGCGGTGGATATGCAGCGCAATGACTTGCGCTCCTTGATTTGGCCTCATTGTAAACTATCCCTTATTATTAAAAACACTTTTCTTTCCCGAAAAAGCAGCCCATAAGATACTAAAAAGGAATGAAATGAACTTAACCATTCTGTAAGTAATCCTTTAGTAATCCATTCTATCCTCGATTTATCGAGATTATTTTACCAAAAAAATTTTTTTAGCCCCAAAAAATGACAAACATTTTAAATCTGTTTGTTTTTAGTTAATATAATATTCCATATATACAAAGGACTCATTTTTGAATTTGAGTATTGATAAATCATTATAACAATAATTTTGTTAATCATTATGTATTTATGAAAAAATGTTGGTATATTATCTCCCTCCACGTTATTGATACAATCAGCTTTTTTTTAAATCTACATATCACTGTTTTAAATTATTTTTCAGATAATTTACTTATATGGTTCATAGTTAAATACGATAAAGTATGACAACAAGATATATTTAGAATTATTTAAAAATAAATCGATGTAAAAATCATATTTTTTAGATAATGGAACAAAGATATTTGTTTAACGTCCAGAAAAATTCATTTATGTAACTCTAGTAAAGTTTTATGCCACCTTGTTTTATCATTAGTGGGACACCAACCTGAAAATAGAATTAGCAGTGTTTCCTTTTTAATCTTTTTCTTTTGATTAACAAAATATTAGCAAATAAAATGTATTTCTTTCTTGCAAAAAAAAAACAGGCGGGTTTAAGATCAGTATACAGAACGAATGACCATCTTCTAGTAACAAAAGTTTTGATTTAGAAATGCATTGAATATAATAAAAAAACCCTTATACGAGCCCCTTTCCATATCACTTGGCCCACATATGGAAAAGGTCCCTCCCTTTTGTAATTAGCGTTGTTTGCTTGGAAAATAATTTACAATAAGTACAGTAGGATGTTGGTTTCACTATAAGTCAACCATTCTATGTAACTCGCTAGTAACTATTTCTCTGAAGAAGGAGACAATAGTTAATTTTCTTGTGATTTGCCATGATCGTTCATTGAATCGAATAGAAGATGATTCTAAAAATCTATTTATTGATTTTAATGGATTTTTATATAATCAATATCGCGTTACTTGGGCTGCAGTTGGAAAGATGAAGGATATTTTTCGGTCTAAGATTCCAATGTGTCTGAAAAGAAAAGTATTTAATCAGTGTATTTTGCCAGTGATGACCTACGGCGCAGAAACCCTAACACTCACAAGAACAACAGTGAGTAAACTACAAGTTGCGGAAAGAGCAATGGAAAGAATAATGTTAGGGATTTCTGTACGTGATAGAATACCCAATGCTACTATACGCAAAAGATCAGGAGTAGCAGACGTTATTGAAAGGATAACAATACTAAACTGGGCAGGTTATGTAGCAACATCAGTTGATTTCCGGTGGACAAAAAGAATTTTGGAATGAAGACCCCGAATACAAGCTTACAGAAATAGAATTAGACCCCCAACGAGATGGACAGAGGACATAAAAAGATTCAGATGGCGCAAAATCGGACTAAGTAGAAAAGCATGCGAGAGGCCTGTGTTCAGCAGTGGACGTTAGAGGCTAGTTGATGATAATGATGATCACGTTACTTTGTTAAATAAAGATACAAATTAATTATAAAAATTATAAACCTAATTTTCGGGCACCAAAAATTTCGGTCTCTGGGCACGTGCCTAGGTTGCCTAGGCCTTATTCCGCCCCATTTAAGTTCACTTTTTACCTAAAAAGACCTTTCAGAAATGCCAGACCTGATAGATATACCTGATAGATAGACCTGCCAGACAGAATGATAGTATGTAATTGGCCTTTAATAATCACATAGTTCATCATAACCAATCATGACATTAAAATCTTTTTGCTAGTAACTATGGCAAAAGCAAAATCACTTTAAAAAAGTAGATTAGTTTTTATGAATAATAAACATCTTAACAAAATTATTTAATAATAAAATACATTTTTTTTTTTCTATTTAGATAAAGAGTCGCATGGGAAATTGTCCAGTTATTTTTGTACCTACACATCGAAGCTATGGCGATTTTATGATGCTGTCATATGCAAATTTCAACTATGATATTGAAATACCTGCAATTACCGCTGGCATGGGTAAGTTTAAATATATGAAATAAAAAAAAACTTAGATTACAAATTGTATATATAAATATTGTTCAAATAAAGTAGATTAGAAATTGCCTTTACTTACTAATGAGCATAGATACGAATGGAAATCAGGGTCAACTATAAAATATTAAAAACTAAACATCTCTAATACAATGAATAATAAATTACAACAAAAGCTTGCTTAGACCTGTTTTAACTTTTGTTTGCGAATGTTGAGAACTTATAGTAAACTTGTAAAATTCAAGAGATCTAAACAGCACATTATACTTAGTCAGAAGGTTAACAAAAATAAATCTACACAACAAATCAGCTTCAGTCTTTATCGAAAAATAGATTTATGTCTGTGCGTAGCTTACCAAATACGAGAACATACAAGACATATGAAAGAAATCTGGTAAGCGAAAACGAAAAAGAGAGGCGAGATGAAGATTATTATAAAATTTATAGAGCACTAGGCGCTATTATACAAACACTGAAAAGAAATATTTTCGTTGTTTTAACAGAAACAAGCAAGAAGGTTATCGATTTACTAGTTGCGTTTTAGATGAATTGTATTTATTAGGGGTCTTAGAAGATATGCTGTGAATTCCCTATCAAAAAGACGTTTGATATATAGCCTAAGATCCTACTACAGGATCACTACGTTCATCAAACTCATCATCAATGAGCTTTAATTTGATATAAAAAAACATGCGCATATTATACGTCATGAGGAGCGTAGTTTATTTAAAAAATAAATGAACAAAATAAAATAATTGTCAAAAACTAATTCCTATTAATTGATTTAAAAATATTTGAGTCACTTTGTGACTGGTATTCTCCTAATTTTAAATGTATATATAAATTGTTAGTTTGATGAAAGTGATCCTGCAGTGAGATCTTATAGCAATAGGCTAGCGATTTGTATTTGAAGGAATAAATTATTTTGAAATGTTGCAGAAGTAACTCGGTGTTATGTTGTGACATTTTTTTGGAAGCATAGCTTTCTTATCGCAGTATACATGGAGTAGTAAAAGCAGTGCCATAGCTGTTTAGTGGTTATTAATAGAATAAAATAAAATTTACTGTTTTTGATGGAGATGAGCCATAACTTAAATTAAAAAAAAAAACGGGTGTGGCAGTCCAGTGGGACTGCCGGTAGAAGTTATACTTCTATACACGCGTTCGCCGTTACAAATTTATGTGAGAGTCAATCTGCACAATCATTACATATGTAATGCTATAGGTAAGACAGAGCAGAAAGAGAAAAAAAAATTAGGTATATGGTGCATCGTTTGCTGTATCTAAACATTTGACCTGTAATAGGAGTATAATAAATGAATATTTTTATTTTCAGATATGTATAAAAGAAGTTGAATGCAAAAAAAATTTTACATATACTCTGCAGTAAAATTCATTCTTTATTTTGTTAATAATATAAAAACACAATACAATACACTGCAATAATAAATATTAAATACATTTACAAAAGGAACATTTTTATTCTCGAGAGAGAAAGGGAGAGAAAATATATCTTCTGTATCTCTCTTACCTATATCTTACATATGTAATGATTTTGCTTATTCACTCACGTACAAATTTCCAACGTCGAACGCGCTTATAGGCGTATGACTTAAAAAAAAATGTTTGTGGATGATAAAAATAATAAACCAACAACTCGGATTGTTTTTTTATTTTTTATTATATTTGAAAATTTGGCATTTTTGCGTATATTATATATATTTAATAAGATTAACGTGGGGTTTTTAAATATTTCAAAATAAAAAAGGAAATTCATATTGGGATTCGAACTCACATACACCATCGTATGAACAAAACACGTAAAAAATTCGCCAGTTAGACATGACACTAACGTATTTCAAAATTGACAGTTCTCGGTCATACAGTGATTTATTGTAAGTAATATTTTGATATACAAAAGCCTAAAATAATTATGAACATTTAATAAATAATGCAAAACATATCACATAAATAATATTAATATATATTATATTATATATAATATTATATATATATATATATATATATATATATATATATATATATATATGTATATATACAGTGTAGGTAAAAGTTTATGGTCGGTATGGTAAAACTTAACAGGATATCTAACACAGATATAAAATCATATTTTCAGCGAATAGACAAAGATAATCATATTCCCCCTTGGTCTCCCCTCCATGAATCTTCTTGACGCCCATTGCCTGTTAGTGAGACGATTAGTTCCGATCAGTTCCGATCAGAGATATTTTACATATTCTGTGGTTTCGATCCTCATAAAGCTAAGAAACTAGAGGTGGGTCCTCTAGTTTTTTAAATTTTTATCGGAACCGTTTTTCGTAAACTGTAACTCGTTGATTGTTTACCAGTATTCAAATTAGCGAGTACACAAACATATTGGCTGTTATCGTTTATGTGTATAAGTATTGAAGTGAAAGAAACTAACGAAGAATATATTTATTATAACTTGAAAAATAAATTAAACAATACAAATAGTACTTACATTTACATGGACTTAAGTCATCTTTATCAGTTTCTTTTTCTTGTACTAGTTAATTTTCAATAGTATAATCTTCTTTTTCTTTTTTTTTCCAACCAGCTTCAACCATCAACTAGTTGATGGTTGATTCAAAAAAACTACGTTTTGGGTAGCCGTAAACACGTAAACAGGGGAGCAACGAACACACTACGTCGACGAGGACGATTAGTTGATCTGAGAGACCACTACAAAACTACAAATAACATGCGACTTTTTCGAGACAGTGGACAGTCGGGCTATTGGTTGACGTCGAAAATAAAATAACTAGGTATTCTGATTCATGAGAATGAGCTTCGATTTACGATTGATCTGCATTTTCGAAGGTGATGGATACTTCCATTAATAAAAATTTTAGTTTAGAACAAAAGAAACAAATAGATATGAATTTACTTAACCTATTCAAGACTCGTTTCATCCGTTTCCATAGTTGAAGAACGAGCTTTTAAATAGTTTGCAGGGTGGATTCTTGGATATAAACCGCCAACAAGAAAAACTTTGTCAGGTTCATTACTTCAGGAACGTTATATCAAAACTGAGCAAATGATTAGATCACAAGTTGTTAAAGAAGTAGAAAATATCTGTATTACTACTGATTTTTGGACATCTGGAGTAACTGAGAGTTACATCGCATTAACAGGACAATATTTAACCGAAAATTTAGAGTTTAAAACGGTTTTATTAGGCTGCTGCCATTTTTCTGGAAACCATAATTCAGAAAACATCGCATTTAAAATTAGTGAAATTATTATTCAGTGGGGTCTAAAACAAACAGTTAATTTTGCAGTAACTAATAATGCCTCAAATATGGTCATAGCTATTAAATATGTTTTGGAATGAAAACATTTAAATTGTTGTGCTCATACGTTAAATTTATTGATGGAGGACGTACTTAAATGCTGTCGTGTACAAATAGATAAAATAAAAAGTCTTTTTTTTGACAATTCGGCAAAAAACACATTTCAAAAAAGTACCTTACCTTCAGAAGCGCTTTTAAAATATCAATTACAACATAACAACGATCCCAAACGGCCAATCCAAGACGTGGAAACTAGGTAGAACTTCACCTATTACATGTTAGAAAGAATGACCGAGTTAGAAGAGGCAATCCGTTCCACATTGGTTTCAGTTAATACAGACTTAGACCAAATCTAAATAATGAAGACTGGATTATTTTTTCGTAATTGTCCCAAATTTTACGGCCTTTTAAAGAAATAACAAGTACAATGAGTGGCCAAAAATACTTGAAGGATAGTTCAGTGATTGTTCTGGTACGCTGCCTGCAAAAATCTTGCAATAAAATTTTATCAAACAGTAACCTTACATCCATAGTATCCGACGTAGTACGGGTTTTTATTACTAATTACGGGATAATTACTAATCTCGGGTTTAGCAAAAAGATTTAGAGGGATAGAATACAGTGGCACATTGTCATTATGTACGTTTATGGGTTCACGATTTAAAGTGCAGGGATTTTCTGATAAAAATAACGCTAAAAAAACAAAAGAAAGAGTTAAGAAGCTGGTTACTTCTATAATTAAAGAACAAGAAGATTGTACTATTGAAAATCAACCAGTATAAGAAAAAGAAACCGATAAAGATGACTTAAGTCCATGGTGTATTTTTGGTCAATTAATTGGACATGACTCATCTAAACGTACACCTGTAGCGAAATTCCATTACAATGGTGGAAAAACCATCGCCATGTATATCCTAACTTAACCACTATATTCATAAAGTATTGTAAATGTGAACACATGTTCAAAATCTGGTTTAATTTTAAATAAAAGAAGAACACGGTTAATAAGAAGTAAAAGAAAAAAACTTATGTTTTTAAATGTCAATTTAATCGATTCGTGATTTAATAATAACGTGTAATGTAAACGTAGGTACGATTTACTATTTGTATTGTTTAGTTTAGTTTTCAAGTTATAATAAAATCTTTTATTAGTTTCCTTCACTTCAATAAATATACACATAAACGATAATAGCCATTATGTTTGTTTATGTAGGTAGTTTCTTACTTGAAACTACTATTAAAAATTCATAGTTACTTGTTTACGAAAATCGGTTTTGCGACGTCAATTACCCACCTCTATTCGTAAATACCTGTGTACGCTTTGATTCGGTGATTTGACCACGCGACACGCCACGTTGGCAAATAGTTTTGTACGAAGCTTTTTTATTTATATGCAGTTTAATATTTTTATTGGAAATAAGGCATAATGTCAGTTTAAAATAAGCTTATTTTGATGTTTAGATTTTTAATTCGGAAATCGTTTTTAAAATACCAAACATTAATAAATTTTATTTATATAAAACGATTTCCGAAGTATAAATCAAAATGTTATATTACACTTATTGTAAAGTAAAATTGTGGCATATTCCCAATAAAAAACAATAAGCTGCCATTTAAATCCATTTCGCCCAAATTTCATTATCTTGGAGCATTGTTTAAATGCGAAAAAAAAACAACAGGTCAAATAAAACCAATAAGTTTGGCAACGTTGAACTTCCCCTTCTTATTATATCCACTCCATATCCACTCATTTATGTTCGGTGATATAAAAGGGGAACACCTAATATATCTCTCTCTTTTTAAACAGTTGTTTCTCACTCCATCTCATGTAAGGTTCATACCGACCATAAACTTTTACCTATACTGTATATATAAAAGGAACATTTTTATTCTCGAGAGAGAAAGAGAGAGAAAATATATCTTCTGTCTTCATATCTTATATATATATATATATATATATATATATATATATATATATATATATATATATATATATATATATATAATGATTTCAACGATTCACTCCTGTGCAAATTTCAAACGTCGACCGCGCGTATCGAAGTATAACTTCAATAAGTATATTTTTATATATTTGAAAAATAAAATACAATCGACTAGAATCAAATATTGAATCTAATCGAATCGTTTATCGAATCTATTGAATATCGAATTTTTGAATTAAATTGATTATTGAATCGATTATCGAATTGAATCAAATATCGAATCGATAATGAATGTAGTCGATTATTTAATCGAATCGATTATCGAAACAAGTAAAATAAATTAAATCAAATTAAAACCATCGTTCCTTGCTTAGACGATAAGAAAGCTATGCTTTCTCTCCTCGGTCACTCCCGGAGTTCCACATCTGGTTTTTTCTCTTACATATCTCATGAAATTACTTATTGATAAATGACAAGTTAATTTTTTTTTTAATATATTAGAATATGCTAGAATATAAGTTTTTCTCGTCTGTAATTTAGGTAATGTAACGGTGTTTCAGATTATCTATTATTGGATTTGATATTGACATTAAAATAAAAAATATTGTTAATACATATCAAAATTCATTGTGACCGAACGCAACCACATTCTGCACTACGTGTGGCCTAACTTTTACAACTATTGTAATATATTTTTCAAAAATTGGGAATGTATTTAATTCGTAGAAAAGTGTAAACATTTGTTTTTAATATAGGTTTCAGTTCCTTAAAAATATTATCTCATGACTTTTGATGTAACAAAATTAGGGATCTAGGAATTGAACAGTTTAGAATTTCGCATTATGTTTCGTATGGCCGGTTTGACGATTCATCACCAGTATAAATTGTACACAAAAATTTTTAATCTTAAGGTATTCTTTTGATGCTGATGTTCTAGCGAAAAGTTTTATGTTAATTATTAAAAATAAATACATTACAACCAAGTTTTCTTAATTTTTTAAACATTTTTGTAGATTTTCACGGCATGTGGGGCGTAGGCAAGGTACTTAGAGATACCGGAGCATTTTTTATGAGAAGAACATATACTAATGATAATTTATATTGGACCACTTTTAGGGAATATGTTTACCAGTTGGTTACCAAAGGTGATCTGCCAATGGAATTTTTCATAGAGGGAACCAGAAGTAGAAGCAATAAGTCCTTACCACCAAAATATGGTAATTTTTTTGTTATGTCAATACATTTGTGCGGATGTTGTTCTTACAATTCATATACTTATATATTATTAGATTGAACTATTGTTTAATATCATGCTTGTTACACAGCCAGTTATGGCCACAGCGGAACATAAGTCTGTCCCGATTGTTTTCATTGATCTCGAGCTTATTTTATGTCAATTTTATCGATCGTAATCCTCGTAATGTCCATATACGTACCTCTATTTCTTTCACATGTGCAATCCAACATTAGTTTGTAGCAAATAGGAGTCTATTTGGAGCCTTAACAACAGTTAACTTTCGAACCAATTGATTCATGGTTCGATATACAGAGCCATCGAAAAAATCGTAATTACGGCAGGCTTTGGAATACACTATTTTTCCGTTGGATGGTTAGTCGCTCCAATACAAGAAATTCAAAATATAACCTAATTTGTTTACAATTTTTTGCTTTCTTTAAAACACTAATTAAAAAAATAAGAATCATCTAAAACATCGAAAAAATGCAGACAATTATTATGTATATATATATATATATATATATATATAATATATATATATATATAATATATATATATATATATAATATATATCGGAAAAAGGAGTACAACTGTCAATCCAATATATATTAAGGATCACTCAGATGAGGGGTTTTTTTTTCGGTCAAAAGGTGGAGAAAGAAGACAAATATGATGGCTACTTCATCTATTTATTGAAGATGTTTCGCTTTCTTAATCAGAAAGCATCATCAGTTCATCTAAAAAGAACAATATGAAAAACTAACGCCATTTTACCGGCGGCAGTCTAGAAGCCTGGAGTGGTAATTTCATTATAGATTACTTTATTAAATTTCAATGTTAATCACTTTAATAATGGTACCTAAAGTTAAAATTAAATCATATTTATTGATATATCGTTGGAAGTGCGTCTTTGATTTTCTTAGTTCTTCAATCTCATATTAATGTTTTTTTTTACTTATGCATGTATAGATCATGTATAGATCAATAGACCACATGTTCTTTGGCTGTGCTAAGTTTGAACAAATTGTTAATTGTAGTTAGTTCAATTTATTGTTTATACATCATAATCGTATAATGTCCATTTACTTAAGCTTCTTTACATTTTTTAATATCACTGACTGCTACATATCTTTTTAAGGTAACACATGTAACAACTTTTCCATGCTTGTGTAGTTTTTTTCATATTGTTCGTTTTAGATTAATTTTCTGATTAATAAAGCTTTCTGATTAATAAAGCGAAACGTCTTCAATAAATAGATGAAGTAGACATCATCTTTGTCTTTTTTCTCCACCTTTTGACCAAAAAAAAAATCCACCACTCATCTGAGTGATCCTGACCAGAGCCAAAACAACAACGAATTGATTAATCTCGGCGCTGTTTGGATATGTTTAACCGGAACGTCGGAGATTTTGCATGGGCTTACAATGAATAAAACACGGATTTATAACTTTATTCCGGAATCCGTTTATTTTTGTCTCAAATAAACAGTTATCAAAAATACAGATTGCACAAAAACATACTATGTAACCATAATACAAAATTAACAAAAACTTACGTGTTATCTGTTTACAAAGGAGATTGCTACAAAAATTTTCGAAATGGTTCCTAGGTTATTTATTAATATGGCCAAAATAGAATATTATAATTAAGGATATCCTTGTTTATGAAAATATCGTAAAATTTAACCTTACATATGAAATATCTTTTCTATACAATAATCAAATTAAAATTGTTTTACAACAACAGATTAGAGCCAAAATGTCCTATGTCAACACAACATTTTAAGACAGAATAAATTATGGCATTTCTTTATCCACGCCTCTAACATAATATAAAACTTTAATTATTACAAATTCTTTTAATTTTTAATGAAAGCAATTATTAAAAATATCTATATAACTTAAAAAAATTAATATATTAATTGTTACCTTAATTCACAAATTTTTACACTTAACTTCTGGAAAAACTCGCCAAACATCTCTGGGACTCTACAGAAACAAAGGAAACCATTTCCATACTCAGGAACGAAGATCTAAGACGTAAATCAGGTTTGGTGGAGGAGCAAGCTGACAAACAAAACAAAGCCGGTGGGACAATTTCAAAATTCCATTAGTTTCGGTGTACTGCACAAATCTTATGGTTGATACTCTGTCCTAACATGCAATTTCGCAAAGACTAAATCAAAGCTTTCACCGGTCTTGAATTTAAGACGTTACACAAAAAATCGGCTATGGATTCAAAAACCGCCAAACGTCTTTCTCGTTCGAATTCTCTTGCTTCCTTGCTTATCTGCGTTCAGTTTTAAAATTTTAACGTAAATCCCAATTTCCCATCACGTCTCGGTTTCAGGCGCCAGCTAAACTAAACAAACAATATCGCTCTTGATACTCCTTCGTAACAACCTTGAAATATTCCCAGCTTTATTGCGTTGTAGAACAATTGAATACCTGACTTGCCATATTCTTTCTAAGAACCTCTTTTTCAACCGGAATATTAGGGGACTTGGATGTAAACAAATCGTTTTCATCGACAAAAACAACTATATTTTGCCCTATCTCGTCAAAAAAAACTTGAAATATTCTACTTTAAAATAGTTAGAAATAACACGTACGAAATGGGGGATTTTGAATGTAAACCAAGACAAAAAATATTCTCAGCGTTATTACGTATTTAAGGATCTCAACTTAAATTGCCATAATATATTGGTCGTTTTGAAATTCCTTTAGAACAGACAAAACGCCAATAAGCAACTCAGGGGCGTACTACAAAATTTTATACAGAATTTATATTATTATATAGATATTAAATATAAAACGCTACAGTACCGGGAGTTGACCGACGGGTTATAATAATATTTATTAATAATTACTGTATTGAATATCATTTTTACATCGTTAACCCAAAAATATGTGTTAAAAATGTAGGTATAAGTAATTTCAAGGCCTTCTTTAATTACGATTTTTATTGTGATTAAAACTGTTGCACTAACACTCCAGGATTCTCTATTTTTGGCTTTTAATTTAAAATTTTGTTCTTTTAGGTGTATTGTCCATGGCTCTTAAAGCCTTCTTTTTCTCTCACGTACCTGATATACTTTTTGTGCCAATTGGTATTAGTTATGATAGAATTTTAGAAGAAAGTCTTTTTGCATTTGAATTGTTGGGAGTGCCAAAGCCAAAAGAAAGTACTTCTGTAAGTATAATCGTGAATTAATATTAATTATTTCTTGTGATTTAAATTTTAGATGCAATTTTATAAATCACGGTAATAATGAACTGAAATGCTATTTTAAATTCAACATTAATTGGTAGCTAGCTAAAGAAAATGTCATTTTAGTAAATCTTTCATTGTTTAAAACGCCTACCGTTGCGACGCTTTTTCAACATCGCGGAAATAAAAAATGTGCCGCGAGGTAGTCTTTTGTTTTTTGTTAATATTTTGATTAATTACTAAAAGTACAAACACATAAATTGCAAAGAGTTATTTTGCAATTTAACAAAAGAGTCTATAAAATCTGTACAAAGATGCGTTTACGAATTGCTGTCAACAAAATTAGTGTAGCCAATTTGATAGCCACCGCACAATAATCGGGCGTGTCATTAATAGAAGAAGAGGATAAAGGTGCAGTTTGGCATGAGAAACTTATGCTTATAATATGCGATATTGATGTATACTCATCATTCTATAATCGAGATGCTATTATATAGTGCGGTACAGTGTGGAGGCCTGATATACGAAGGTATGAGAATGACCAACAAACGTAGACTTATCATCTTATATAATCTCGTAGACAGGTAGAATGGCATGGCATGGCATGGAAACGTGGACTTTGAAAAAAACATCTATCAACAAACTTGAAGCATTTGAAATGTGGTCATTGAGAAGAATGATGCGCATACCTTGGTGGATAGAGTTAGAAACGATGACGTCCTAAAGAGAGCCGGCGTGGAAAGAGAACTCTTTGAATTAATTAAAAAACGCAATATTGGTTACCTTGGGCACATATTGAGAGGAGCAACATATGAAATACCACAGTTAATCCTACAAGGGAAGATCGAAGGTAGGAGAGGAGCCGGCCGCAAATAGTTATCCTGGTTAAGGAATATTAGAGAATGGACAGGAATACACAATACAGGCGAACTGTGTCACGCCGCCAAGAACAGAATTCTAGTAATGAGATAGTCGCCTACGCACTTTGGTGTATGGCATGTTAAGAAGAAGAAGAAGACAGGTAGATCTATAATATGTAATATTGCCGTTGGGCGTCAATAAAACATGTTCGCCTAGCAAATCGCAATAACAGTATTTAATGAAAACATTCAAAATGAAGAAAGTACTCAAGATAGTCTCCTCTTAAATGTATACATTTATTAGAAAGTTTCATATATTTATTTATTATAAAAAACCTGCAACGGATTTTTACCTCTAAAAAATTGTATCTTGCTCTACAAACTAGTTATCTACAGCTTATTAGAGTTTTTCAGTTAAAGAAAATCGAGAGTCGGTCGGAGACAAATTTGATTGAATAAGCGGGGCATTCAAGTAATTAGAACCTTAAATTACGAATTGTTTGCATGGAAACACGTGATTGGTACACAGGGACATTGTATGGCCTGATCGAAAGATCGATAACATCGAAAACGTTCGTTCTGAACAAAATCAAATATTGTAATCCATTTGGATTTAATAATTTAATGTTTATTTAAATGTATACCTATTACAACCGAAGTTTTTCCTTCAATGTAGAAGTTCTTTAGGATTTGATTATATAGTAGTTCCTTAGATTTCTGTCTAAAGAGCCAATTCGTTTCTTTGAATTTGAGGTCACGTTCTTTTCTTTTTAATATATTCCTTTCATTTCAAATGAGCATTAAAAATTTATGATCAGGGACTTAATTGAGTTGTGGCTTGGAACCATTTTATTGTTTGTTACTATATCCACTATATACATACTATATATACATGAAATGATTTGCCTTCATTGATTTTTATTTTTTACTCTCCAACACATTCGTTTTTCTTGTTGTGTGACTGTTAGAGTTGTTTTTTACTTTCTCTATTATTTTGCCGACTGCCAGTATAGCTGCGTTGTTAACATATTTTAATATGTCGCTGTTGATGTATGTAATGTGTATACAAAAAGTAATGATCCTAATACGCTACCCTGAAAAACACTTGCTTTAATTTCTCTTATTCCACAGTACTCCTTTTCTTACTTAACCCTTAACATTATATAATATCTACATATTGTATCGGGAGCATTTCTTGTAGCTTTTTAATAAGCCCAACATGCCAGTCCTTGCCATATGCCGGGGTGACGTCAAATAATATAGCAGAGCATACAAGTTTTTTCTCATATGCTTTCTAAGCACATTGGAGAACAAATTCATATAGGTTCTCCCATTCCTAGCTTTTCTCATGATCAGTGATAACTTCGCAATAGAAGAAATCTAAACACAAGCTTAGATAAAGCAAATACCTAAGGAAATATTTAAGTTAAAAATCGAAAGTAACATTATATAAGACACTCCTACAGTGCTGCCATATATCTCGAAAAACTGGATTATTTCTAAAATAGATGCAAGTTATCTACTCATCTTCGAGCACAAGGTATTGAGAAGAATATTTGGTTCAATCTGTGAAAGTAGAAATTTTTGACGTGGTATCTTTGAAATGTATGTAAAAGATATATCCCTACCATTTACTATTTCTTTATACTTCTTGTACAACTCGAAATTATATCGTCTTATTCAAACACAATTCTCACATATTGCGCCTATTATTTTTCTTAATATCTTCCTTTCGAAGACGAACGCTGTATTGACGAGAAGACACGCCAGCGCTTCTCGCTGCCGCAACCCCGCATATGTTTCAAAGGTTTGTGACGTATCGTGTTATATGTAAACTCTGCAAATCACATTATTCATAGTTGTTTTTACAAGTCTTATTAATTTATGGGTTATGAGTTTTGGCACACTTGGCATATCCACTGCCACCAAGACCCATCCACTTATCATTCACCCTTCTCCTTTCTTAACCGGACTTGGGACCGGCTACAGCGGAGTATTATTATATAAAGTATAATATGTATTTAATATTAAACTTGATAAAAATAGGAAGCATAAGATAAACAGAGCACCTGTCAAGGGCGAATTAATACTTTCCTTCCAGGCGAGTCCTGTTATTGCTAGATGAGAAATAGAGAAGTAAGATGGAAGGATGGTGTATACGAAGATGCTAAGAAGATCGGCTCCGCAAATTGGCAATGAGATATAAATGACTGGTGAAACAGAAATGCCTAAGGAAGGTCGGGACTTAACTAGGGCTATACTGAGATGAATATACTAAATATAGTCAAAAATTTTGAGAGTACTTTTAAGTGAAAACTAATTACTAACAGTTTAATACTTAAAATCTTTTTTGCACTTGCTGTCACATAAGTAAAAATAAAATTTATATATTGATGACCCTTAATTTAGAAGAAATTCTGTAAGAACTTTCTAAAGAAAAGTATATGCTAATATAATACACAATATAAAGCATGGTTCAGAAATATATTTCTGAGTATCTTGTAGAATCTTGTAATGATCAAAGATTTGATGGATTTGATCACTGGCCAGTACATGATGATCAAAAAATATTGTCACTTGTAGAAATCTGCCAAAGTCGATCAAGGATCCAGTGGATTCAGTGCAACCAAGTAAAAATCAAAATTGCTTTGAAAAGTTTTATATTAAGTAATTTTCTGACCTACTTCTAAACGTTTTCAATATATTTTCATTTGTTATAACATTTGTGCTAGTATCATTTTGACTCCCATATAACACAATCGTGTGCGTCCCCGAAATCCTGTTTAACATCAATTTTTGTTTATAAGAAAAATCAGAATTTCTAATAATGTATTAATAAGTACTAGGGTAAAATTTTATCTGCAAATTTACAAAAATGTAGGATTGGGGGCGTAAGGAATAAAATACGTTTTACAAATACAAATTTTTGTGTTTATCGCATATAGTACTGGTAATTTACTAAATGTATTGTTTATCTTTTAGGGCCTTTTTAAATCGATGAAAATTCTCAAAGAAAATTTTGGTAATATATATCTTCATATGGATGAACCAATCTCGGCAAAAGAATATTTTGGTGACAAAATTGACAGAAGTATTCATAGTATAGGTCCATTACATAAACAAGAAGTCACTGCCGAAGAAAAAAAGAACTTACCACCTCTTGCACATGAAATTTTAAAACGACAACAAAATGCTACAGTGCTAACAGTATTTAACCTTATGGCCACCATTCTAAACAATAATTTAGCTTATCAAACAGACCGCTTGACTGTTAAGGATTTAGTATGGGAACTAACTTGGATAAGGAATGTTGTAGATAAGTTGGGGGCTTTTACCCACATTGAAAATACAGAAAAAGGAGTTAGAGAGGCTTTAGTTACACACAAAAACTTAATAAGACTAGATAAAAGAAAGACGTTGAGACTGATAAAAAATAAAGTGAGCCAACAAGTTGTAAACCCGAAAAAGTTAAAAGGCCATGCACTCAGTGATACCACAATGACTGAATCGGTTCCATTTGTTATGTTACAGATATATACCAACCCAGTTCTTCAGTTTTTGATCGACATAAATATAATTTTAGTAATCTTAAAATACAAAACAATGGAAATAGGTAAGTAACAAGTGATTTTAAATATTCCAAATGCTATGATTGTCCAAACAATTGGCAATTGTTAAAAATGGTTTATTTTGCACATTTCTATATTTTATAATTAGTTATTGCTAATAAGGTAATAAACATTTCAAATACGCTATATTAGTATTGTCGTTACCATTTATTTCTTTGATGGGCTCTTGGTAATTAGTAACTAATATCCCACTATTATTATTATGAACGTTGTATGTACCATTTTTGAAAATTTAATTTGGAATAATATCCTAAAGTTTGTTTAGCCGAAAATGGTTGACTCCAATTAGTGTATGTAATGTAATGTAAATATAAAACCGGGCCTCTTATACTATTATCGGTTAACCCAGATGTTTATAGTCGATACTAATTGAAGTCAATCATTTTCTGCTAAACAAACTTTACGAAGTTATTGAGAGCTTAAGAAAATTATTCTAGAAAGATAAAATGCTCTTGAACTGCAATTAAGTTTGTACACATTTGAGCATCTGCTGTAATCGCCCTTATGTTTTTTTTAAACTTTTTGGATAAAAAAATAAGTGTTTTTAAAGATTTCGAAAAGAAAACAATATACACAGTGATCCATTTGGAATAACAAAAGTGGGAAGTCTGATCGGCTGTATTACAAAACTCATACAAAACCAAATTTATGTAAATTGTGCAAACTGTTTTTGAAATAATTGAGGTGTTCCATACTTAAAACTTACTCTGGATGATAAAAGTAAACTAATAACAAATTTAAATTATCTTGAATCAAGTGGGCGGAAAAAAAGACGTGATACTAATATAGCGTATTATAATATTTTTTTACCCGAAACTTCTGACACTGACGTCATGACGTAAACAAAACTATTCAGCATTGCGATCTCTAAGTATAGAAGAACAATTTAGAAAACATTTTCTTTTTTCCCTGAAGGGAAAACTTTCCCTTCAGGTTGTAATTTTTTTTTCTGAATAAAGTGGAAGTAAATTTGAAATATCTAGCTAAAACAAGCTTTGAATATCGTATTTTTTTTCGCACTCTCAGAAAATTACATGTTATTGTAGTAAATTTCATTCGAAAACAACGTAATTCAAATACGGATTCATTATCTGCATTAGAAGTTTCCTATTGCTTCATTGGATGTGTATCACTTAAAAATATACAAGATGTAAATTTATGTCATAATCGTCATGACATAAATGTCATCCTCGCCTAGATCATAGCACTGGCAGTGAACGCTGGCGTTTAAAATAAAATGCATTTATTTTACCTGGCGACCGATGCGATGGTCGGAGCGAGGGTCGGTGGTCGGCGCCTCGTTGTGTGAATCATAGAGTACTATGATCGAGGGTCGAAAAAATACTAAGCTGGAATACTATGGTCCAAGTCTATGGTCCGATACCTGACTGGAGGCTGGGCGCTGCGCTTTGACAGTGAACTCTGGCATTTTTAAAATAATTCATTTTTTTATCTAGCGATGATAATATGATACCATTCTATGGTCCGAGCGAGGGTCGGCACCTTGTTATGAGCGCACACTTATTCACCAACCAAAAGAACCACAGTGTTATGTTTCTTTAATTTGAAATATGAAAGATTTTTCCTTTAACTAAGCGAATTGCCCTTTATCATATCAGGTGTTTTCAGAAAGATGTCTACGTTTTGTTTTCTAACGTAGACCATCGTCATATCCCAGCGACAAGTCACTAACTAACATTTTGATGTTGTGGAGATATTTGAAGTAAAAGATAAAATCTTCACTATAAATCAGGTTTTTAAAATTTTCTATAACAAACTTTTTTAAGGTGTATTTACTACTCTTAGATTTATTAATCTGAAGTTACTAATACTTTAAAGATACTTTACTATATATTTTGTGCAATAGTATCAGTTTGTGATTTTTTGCATAAACAACAATAATGAGTTTTAGTAATAATTATTACATATTATTATATTTATTATATAAAAAAAGTTCCTCTTCTTTGTCATCCTCAACGACTGGCTCGATTATTGTATCTGGTATATTACTGACTGTTGGTAGAGATGCATACCATCCATGCAGTTCCTCTGGTATAATTTCTTTTTTACATAACCTCATTAAATCCACCTTTTTGGTTACTAATAGACAGTAGTTGATTATAAGCTCTTTTTATTTCATTCTCACAATTTTTCCGACCTCTTCCGCGTACGTTCAGTTCAATATATTGCTCTGTGTAACTGTACCGAAATTTTATTATGTCTGGATTTGATTTTTCATATCGTAGATATTTGATTTCAAGCCATCTGACTGTGTTACCATCCTCATATTTCCGAAAATTTTTAATTGTACGTTTTGAGAGATCTTTAAGATCCAACATATCGGAAAAATGCAGCTGTTTGACATGGTAGGGATTAGCGGAACTTCTGTTTCCGTTTGATCTGGCTCTTTTCATTATATTCATCCACTCCATAACAGAATTAACAGACGCATGCCTTTTTCCCTTTCAATGGCACTATGCATGGTGTCAACTCCCATGAAAGAATGTCCGGATTCTAGGTATTTCTGCTTTGTGATTTCAATAGGAGTATTTTGGGTCAAATAGAGCAGAAGCACAGAGATGTGCTGATTGCAATTTTGACCCCCACAAGTGTCTGAAAACAATGAAATCCCTTTAATATTCTTTGGAAGTCCCTTAATCCACTGCATTAAAGCTGTACCAATTTCATTGCTGCCTCTTCTACCATTCACCTCAGACCACAGCAAGCAATATGATTCATTTGGAAACCGTGACTCGTAAACAGTGAAATTATGAAGGCAAAGTTTACGACAGTAATATAACAGAGACTCCTCAGCAGACGGTATTTGAAGAACACTCTGTAAGTCAAGCGTTGCAGACATACATGTCATTTTCAGATCTTATCTTATCTTCTTCTTTAGCAATTGTCCTGCCTTTTTCTTGATAAGTGGGCGTTGTATTTTTGTTCTAATTCAGGTGTTACAGAATATATTCGTTTTGCATCCCTATATTTATTACAGAGGGTGCATTGATCCATTTTTGGACGAAAAATGATAAATTGTAACACTCGCAAAAAATGTTTCTGTACTTTAAATGACTCACCGGAACTCGATTATTCTCGTAACAATGGACGGTATACAAGGAAAACATTTTTCTAATAGACAATTTTTCATCTAAGTAACATCTGTGAGTATTTTTTCCTACAATAATGAGACTCTATTGTAGGAAACATCTCGATGTGTTGTTTCACAAAAGCCACATCTTCTGGTTTAATTTTATTATGAGGAGATTTTTTACCTCGTCTACCTTCTGTCGTAAAAACACCATCGTTAGAACCCTTAAAGGCTTTATTAATAGGACCGTTACTAATATTAAGAGTTTTTTTAAAGAAATTCTGACAGACTCGATATTTCTTATCTTATTTAAATTTACAAGATTGACAGTTTGCTGGCTGTGGAATCTTTGCTGGATTTATACCTTTTTTGATTTATAGGGCAAAGAGTTATTTTTCTTCTCAATATTTTTTTTCCATTTAGAGGGATCAGATTTTGTACATCGAGAATAAACTTTCTTTCGAGGTGTATTCTCATCATTATTCCCAACAGAATTATTTATGTCGCTTGTTTCTTTTATATTAGCATTGTTTAAATAGTACTAGTTAGACAATCCTTATGGAACAAATGTTTGACTTATAATCTGCCGTCATGTGGCGGCCTCTAGTCATAAATTTAAAAAACTATTAACAGAGACTAAATTCGCTGCAGCATTCTACTCGAGTATATTTTTAGGTGTCTGATAACTAATTCAAACTTGTACACGGATGCCAAATTGTGAAGAAAATATATGACTTAAATAAAATGCTTATTGTTATTGTCGTATACGTCTTGTGAAAGATAACTTGACTATTTCGAGCGATTATTTCAAATTGTTTTTATACTTTGAGACTTGCTAAATTTAAATCGGTCAGTAATCTATGTAAATGAAGTAGATAAATGCTGCCGTTTTTTTTAAATGTTTATTAGTTTACCAGATATTAAATTTGGTTATATGATTTTTTAGAAAAGGATTAAATATTTAATTGAAATAGACTCGATTGCTATCGTCTTAGAACACTCATGCGGGGGTTTATTTTTTAGTCAAGACTAAAGAGAGATTTGGTCAAGATTGTAAGACTTAAATTTTTCAATTAAATTAATTAAAATCTTTTTAAAAAGTGGTTTTATGTACGTTTTTTGTAAATTAAATTTTCTATATTTTAATCTTTAAAATGACGTTTGGAAATATAGTAATTTCATGGGTTTGGTTTTTTGATAATGGTTTTGAAACAATAAACATATCGATATGCCACAAGAGGCAACATATATTTGGGCAACATAAATTAATCTATGTGTTGGGATAAAAGGAATAATAATTAACAAAACTTTAATAAACTGTACCCTTTACTTTATTTACTTATGTACTTTATAATATACACACCATTTTTGTATTTCTGTTTACATAAATGAGAATGTTCGTCCGATCTGAGCTGTTTATTAATGAAATAATTTTAAATTACAAAGGTATAGAAATTGCAAAAATTAAATTCGCATTATTTTAATAGTTATATAACACATCAAAGTTCTAATATCTACACATAAACAATATTAACAAAATCATAATTCAAGGTAAAAAAACAAAACAAAATTGTTTACATTAATAGTTATAGAAATTGATTGTAACATTGTTAATGTAATCTCCTTTGAAGTGTACAATAATTATGAAATATTTTTTATTGACCAATGGTGATAACGGCATATCTATAAGCTGTTCAACAAAATCGTCAGTTCAGAATTAACACTGTGCGAAACGGTATTGGAACCGGTTGATGGTTGTTTTACTGCATAGTGTAGCATAATGTTACTGCATAGATTTTTTTTTTAATTTGTTAGCTCCAGACTTTCCAATGCAGCATTACCTACAACAATATTATTATTAATACAACGGAAAAAAAAGCAACTTTCTGCAAA